TCAGTTCCGATGGCCAGTTCCCTGCACATCGCCACCCTCACATGTCATTACACATGATGCAGATTTCTATATTCCCATCATGGGTATAACTTCACAACGGCTGGACCGTTTGGGCTGAAAATTTGCATAACTATAGTTCCCCATTTTTAATAATTTCCGTGTAAATTTCGTTGTATGTTTTAATTATGGATCCTACGCAAACATCGTCTTTTCCCTGAGCTCGGACTTTTGATGTCGCTATTCCCATTATTGGATATCTCATTAACGCATGATCCTTTTATTATGAAAATTTGGGAGGATTAAGATTAGATTCCTTCCTTTTCAATGGCCCATCAAGCTTGTCTCGGTCGTTACTGGTTAATTTTCGCGCTTGCCTTTTAGATATTGTCCTCGTTTTGCAGGAGTTTTAGTCATATCTCCGTCGTTTATGGGTAGTTTCCCCTGTAATTACTCTCATTGGGTCCGTTTGGGGGACATCTACATTTCCTATTATAAACACGACTTTGAATTTTGCATTAGTTCCTGAGGAATCCTTGTTCCGTGGTACTTCCATCCTTGGCTACGTGTGCAGACATGGGAAAGTAGTTTCCGTGGAGGTTCTCTGATTGTTTTTATAGTCAAATCTTGGTCGATTGTCCTAATTCTTGTTTTTATATTTGCTATAAATTCCCCCGGGAATTCCGTCTCGTTGATGGTAAGCTTGAAGTATTTTTGCTATTTTTCTTTCTTTCGATTTATCGCATATAGTCATAATAATTCGTAAAAATTCGTAAAAATTCGTGTCCTTCAGTTTTCTTATATCTACTTGTCGTATGAGGTTTTGTGATTTATCTGGCATATTTCCATAATGGGTTTCCATAGTGTGACCGTTATTTCTCCTACACCGTGAATGTTTGCCAAGGTTCCAATACTAGGGCAGACCAAGTTGCACTCATCTTTGGTCGACTCTACAAGCACTACACCGATATGTCCTTTGCTGACATATTATCTCTTAATGGACACTCTCCTGTTGATGCTATTCTCTCCAGCCTTGAGGCCCGCTGGAGTAAAGTGGATCATGATTTTTTTATAGTCGCAGTCACCCTTAACCCGTTCATCAAAACTTCCCTCTTCACCCTGCTAGTTTCTACAGGGATCCTGGTGACAATGATTGAGCGTCTATATTGTCGTGTGTTTGAAACCACCACTCCTCCAAATACATTGGGTCAGCGCGCTATTGCCTACCTGACAGATAGCTATGACGCATTTGGGTACCAGGGTGGGGATTGGAGTCTGACTAATCTTCGCATCCGCATACCGGTATGTCAAATCCTCTTTCACATCCTACCCAAGCTGATCAATGTTATTGTTCTGCATGTGTTTGCTAGGATTCCAATCCAATCATGGCATGGAAATGTGCCTACAATGACAACCCACTGGCACGACTCGCTATTCTCATCTTCTCATTTGTTTGTAATTCAGCTGATTCGGAGCACTTCTTCTCTATCACTGGGGACACAAAGAACCCTGCACGCAATCGACTATCTGTTGAGAAGATGGTGAAAATCTCATCTATCAAACTAGACCTCAACCGCCAACATGCAGTTGATGGTTCACATAGGAAGAGAATCCGTCGTTCATTCGGACTTGCTCCTTCCGCTAGCGACCATGACCCCTCTGGGGGCTGTTTGGAGCCCGAGCATGGACATCCCTCCTGCATTCCTGATGACATAAACCATGGCTACCATCCTTTCCGTGCCAATCTTCTTCAAGACCTCACCAGTGACTACAATGCAGAACAATCTGAAATGAATTTTGCGCGGAGTCTACCATCAAGATCCCCCCAAGTTATATTTTCCATTCCTCCCAAAGTATCTATTTACAGCCTGCCGTTAGGGTGTAAGTTTGCAGGGGAAAAGGGTACGAGATATTTTCAACTTGACGTGAGATTCAATGTGGGACCTTTACTGGATCCAGGGTGAGCGGAACTTAGTGCTAGAAACAGAGATGGAAGACCTCTTAACACAAGAGAGGAACTTAGACCTAGATGGGAGCTTAGAGACAGTGGCAGGGTGGAATGTTTGCGGTGACACGTTAAGCACTTGTAGCTAAATCCGTTAGTCTGTTATAAGTCCGTTAGTTCAGACCTGACGGACCGAGACACCCAGTCCGGACCCAATCTGACTCAGAGTCCCCGTGACCACGAGTCTGACTTGGTCTTGTGCAACACTGCTTAGAAGCACATCGAAATTTTACTACATCTTTATGTGCCGGCTTCCGTACTCGGGGCTCCTCACAACAAGAAACATATTCCCAACGATCTCAGTGTCATAAGATTGCGATCTATTGTACAACAAGCCCCATCAACATATCATCAAGCCTTTTCCGGAAATTATGCCTCACTGGGGAAAGTCATGGACTGTTGGGGGAGGCGACAAGTTCTCCACCCTGTGGGCCCAAGAACGGCGAACCAAGTACAGGGGCTCATCCTTTGTCTGGGTAGGAGCGCCTAAAATTTTGTAACTTCCACTATTGAGCTGACCTTCACTGCTGGTACAAAGTCGCGGTGGACTCAAATCCCCAAGTACATTGCGAAATCCCGCTTGTGAGAAGGGTTTGTTACAGCGAGCTTCATGAAATACTCAAATGTGTCGTTCCCAGGACTCTTTGGAACAAGCATGCCCATGCGGCATCTTCTTGCCCTTGTTTCGGACAGCAGCGCTTATATGGACGCAACCTGTTATGGAAATGGGAATTTCCCATTTTAGACTCTTATGGGTTCTGTATCATGTGATTTATATAGTAATAGAGTTTAAGGAATCAACAATTACCAAAAAACCCGCTGTGCTAACATCTGTTAAACCTCATGTTACAACATCTGTGAAACTACCTGTAAAGCCTAATGAATCACCCCACCTCCACTTTCCACTTTCCTGCACCAAGAACGGACGAAAATGGGCGCCCCCAGCCCCATTTTTGTAACACAACCTCTTTCACCAAGCTCTCCGACACCACTCAAATTATCGCACTCACATCGGTCTCATCAGTCAGCTGTGGCCACTTTCTTTGTGGCACGAATTCTTGTCGTTGGGCCATCATTGATCACAGTTGCGAACTCGTGAGGCCAATTTTTAGCGTTGACAATGATGACTACTCGAACATTGCCACTTCCCATTATCCGCACACCTGAACTCTGTATAATATGTCGCAGCTCGAATACCATGAATTGAGTGGTAATTTACGAATTGAGGAGTCTGGTATTTAACTTTGCGAACGTATATTGTAATTTACCATGATAAAAATACCACGAAAACTGTGGTAAATGGTGAAAAACCAGACAAAAAGTAGTTTTTTACGGGGCTTTACTTCCCACAGTGAAGAAGGCGCATGCGACAGGCTGTGCATGCAATAACTAGAATACGCAGAAGGTCACTCACGGATTCCATGCATTAACTGTCCACACGTCAAGCCGTGGGTGTAGATTGACAACCAATACACGAAGGTGATCAGGGGAGGCACGGAGATGCACGCCCGGTTTTGTGAGTAAGGGCTGCGTTCCACAGAGGCGGCATGTCGGGTCAGCGGTTCATCGGCGAGCAACGGGTCGTGTTCGTTTGGAAGATGAAGATTGGTACACTGAGAGAAGCGATTCCATAATATTAGGGGGTTTCACGGTAGGCCAGATTGGTCTAAACTGAACGACCAGACTGAGTCTAGATTGGATAAGATTGGTCCGAGTTTTGATGCGGACTTTAGTCGCAGTTTAGACCAAACCAAAAGCGTTCACAGTGAAGGGGTCTAAACTGAAGTCTAAACTCAATTCCTGTCGCATTCCTTATGTCCATTGATAAATCAGGTGATCCCTCCTTAGTGCTCGTCTGCTGGCTGTCTTCATGTCCGGTATCAACAGCAACATCAAATATGGGAATTGGTGAACCCATCATCCTGTTAGGATCTGCAGTCCCACTGGTGGTTAGGGACCGAAGGCCCACTAGGCACTCAATTGCTGACACGGTGTGTCTATGCCACACAAGGGATTGCCCACAACTAACTTTATGTTGTCCTTTGTGTTTCGCTTTTTCACTTTGATCATTATGTATGGCAACAGTGGCATAGTGCCCCCCGATTGTACGATGTTTTGGTCCTCAGGTAGGGGATCCTTATGCTTACACTTACAGCCTGTCATTATGTAGCACTCAGTGGGGACACTTGGATAACAGGAAAAATGATTATAATGTGTAACTGTACAGCGATATAAGCAGTTGAACTAATAACAAGACATCAGACATAAGTAATGGAAAATGGAACGTGAAAGGATATGGTATGCACAACTATGCGTGAAACACTGTAGCATTAAGACAAAGGTAGAAAGGGGTATGATATCTACTAAAGATATGAGCATGAAGTGCATACTGGTACATTGTCATGGCTTGCTCCTCCAACACAGTCCCTTGGTGGCATATCTGTGGCTGGGTCTGATGGACAAATGGTAGGACGGGAACTGGGGATAGATAACTGTATTGGAAAAGGAACTGTACAGTAGTGTAGCGTGCTGGCGGAGTTTACAAATATATCCGAATCTAGAGGCCAGTCTTAAGTTGAATCTTGGGTCAGTTTAGACCATTTGGGGCATGTGAGCCTCAACAGCTAAACTGGCAAAACTGACGAGTTTTGATCAATCGTGGGTCAGTTTAGGATTTCAGTTTAGACACCTGTTTAGACCAATCTTGCCTACCGTGAAACCCCCTATTGTAACGTGATAGGTCATGATTTTGCGAAAAGTCCTGACCATTGTGCGATTATTGGAAACAAGACATTATGTAACTTCGTGGACTGCTACCTTCAGGCTCAGTGGAATAGGATTCTTATCCTGATCTTTTACAGACCGGTTCCACTGTTTGCTGGAGGCGGAACAGAGCCGGATTTTTATCTCATGGTAGACCAGACAAAGTCGCAATTCAGAAGCTAGATGTAAATTTGATTCGTAACTAGGTATCCTAAGCATACACAATGGATTTTTGTCAGAGTTCATCTTGTTGGAGAGCGTCTACAGTCAGTGAGTCATCCATGAAGGCGGTGTGGGCCCAGGAACCGCTCCAGTCAACAATTGCCCATTGAGGATTCGTGGTGCCAATTTGGATGCGACCCACCACTGTGCAGATTGCAGCCAAGTTCACGATTTCAATGTATGACGTCAAACTTCTAAAATAGGTCAGCTCTAGTGTAGCATCGTGTCCCTGGGTATCACAAGTGGTAATGACGCCAAAAAGAATGGTTTCGGGCTCGGTATTTTTGGATATGACGTTTGATGGGATGGTGCAGTGAAGGATATACTCGAGCTGCCCATAGTAGACAGTACGAACAAAATCTTCTTTGGCTTGTGGGTGGTGTGCATTCGCGTCAGCAATCAACTCATACTATCAAATAACATATTGGGTTATGTAAACCAGAATTGCGATCACTCACACGGACAAAAGAGGCATTGCAGAAACTCTGCCAACTGCTCATCTGCACAATGGCCCCTCGAATAAGATGGCCCCCATTGCCAATGCGAACTTTCACCCAGCACTCCATTATTTGTGGAAGGATGTCCAACCAGGCTTAGTCAAGGATCCGACTTGGTCTACTGAATAGAGGTCAACTTTCTCCCACACTCTCAGGGACAAGGGTGTATTCAAAAGGCCAAAAACAGACTGTCACATGACATTATTGGGTAATATGTCTTTGTCAATCAATAGATTCTCAACATTATGGTAATATGTTTTTGTCATTCAATACAATTGTCATTTGATGACTGAACGGTACAGTGTCACGGAGTGAGGTTGGGAATAGATTGCCATTTTGAGAATGAAAATCTCCCACCTCCAGCAACGCGATCGGGATATTACTCTGATCTCCTTCAATGCAGGTCATTGGGACCTTGAGGCTTTCCGATGTTGAGAAGATAACAAGATTACACATGATACTATCTAATATACAAGTGGGATCAAGCCGCTGGATGGCGGAAATCATACAGAGCTGGTTTGGGTTTGAAGCGCTGTAGGAGAAATAACAGTCACACTATGGAAACCCATTATGGAAATATGCCAGATAAATCACAAAACCTCATATGACAAGTAGATATAAGAAAACAGAAGGACACGAATTTTTACGAATTATTATGACTATACGTGATAAATCGAAAGAAAGAAAAATAGCAAAAATACTTCAAGCTTACTATCAACGAGACGGAATTCCCGGGGGAATTTATAGCAAATATTAAAACAAGAATTAGGACAATCGACCAAGATTTGACTATAAAAACAATCAGAGAACCTCCACGGAAACTACTTTCCCACATCCACACACGTAGCCAAGGATGGAAGTACCACAGAACAAGGATTCCTCAGGAACTAATGCAAAATTCAAAGTCGTGTTTATAATAGGAAATGTAGATGTCCCCCAAACGGACCCAATGAGAGTAATTACAGGGGAAACTACCCATAAACGACGGAGATATGACTAAAACTCCTGCAAAACGAGGACAATATCTAAAAGGCAAGCGCGAAAATTAACCAGTAACGACCAAGACAAGCTTGATAGGCCATTAGAAAGGAAGGAATCTAATCTTAATCCTCCCAAATTTTCATAATAAAAGGATCATGCGTTAATGAGATATCCAATAATGGGAATAGTGACATCAAAAGTCCGAGCTCAGGGAAAAGACGATGTTTGCGTAGGATCCATAATTAAAACATACAACGAAATTTACACGGAAATTGTTAAAAATGGGGAACTATAGTTATGCAAATTTTCAGCCCAAACGGTCCAGCCGTTGTGAAGTTATACCCATGACGGGAATATAGAAATCCGCATCATGTGTAATGACACGTGAGGGTGGCGATGCGCAGGGAACCGGCCGTCAGAACTGAGATCCGCACTTCGGCAGATCGTGAAGACCAATTTCCATCCAAATAAGGAAGAGCCCGGTCAAAACAAAGCACGGAAAGTGCAAAACAACCTTAGATCATGAGGGAAAAATCTGAAATAAATCACAGAAGCCCATATGAAAGAAATAAAAACCCGTGCATATCATAAATCCCAAACAATTAAACGGAAATGGCGCCCGCATAACGAACGACTATGGGAATGACGCATGTGATTACCGAATGTGCGTGCGAACTTTTGCTAACTCAACGAATACCAGGAAATAGGACACAACCTTAGTACCATTGGAAAGGTGGGAATAAATGAAAATTTATGATACCAAGAACGTGAGAAAACATCCAGAAATGAATGAGATATAGGGACATGAAGTTAGAAACCTGAAAAACGTGCGGGAAAACAGCTTCAAGAGGTCCAGAGTCCTAAATAAAATACATAAAAATATGATATCTTCAAGGACGACCTACTATAACAACGAACAATACATATGGAGGATTAGGATGTGATAATACAAAGGGGAATCAGGGAATATGAACGAAATTCATGAAAACCACTAAACTACGACGGATCATGGCGGGAATTTTAGGGAACGATATTCTAATGAGGTGGAGAGCTATAACACATTCGTTTGAGTAATTCTTGACTACTAGCAACTTTTTCTTTCAGTTTTAAACCTGAATAATTCACTCATTTACCATTTCAGTCTCATTTTAACTAAATGTCACTAAATAAAAATGGAATAAATCAGCTGAAGGTCTCAGCACAGCCATACGCATAGTAATGCGAAGTTTGAATTCAGAATCATCGAGTCATAGCAAATTTAATGGTATATATAGGGAATTTGAAATAGGTAACTGCGGCAAATGCAGTGCAGCCAAGTTCTAATTAGCCATTAAAATAGCTTAGGCGAGGGAGGACAATAAGGATTCTAGGCGCAGTCTGACCGCAGTAGAACCGCAGTTCAGCACAGCAAAAGCGCAGTAGAACTATAGTGTGAAAATTTCATTTTTTATTCAGTTTGAGAAAAATACAGTAAATAAATCCTGTAAATAGAAGGTAGAGCGTGAAAAAGGAAGGTGACCCAAGGAGTATAAAAGGGAGATCCTTTCTGCGACTTTTCGCCCCCCCTCAGAGAAGTAAGAAAATAGAGTATTATTTTTCTCAAGCATTTCTGGTTGTCACTCCAGTGCGAAAAAGTGATATACAGTTAAGATTGCCACTGTAGTAAAAGGCAGCAATTAAGGAGAGAAATATTAAGTAGATATTTCAACAGGAGAGCTGGTTAACACTCCAGATTTCAAAGTGTAAACACAAAACAGTTATCTTGCTACTGTTAAAACAAGCAATAAAATAAGACAAAAATAAAACAAACCCAAGGGACACTCCAGACACAATCCAAATTCATTAACTGAATAGAATCTTTGAAACTTCACCAAGTAGAAGATTAAATTCAAGTTTAAATCCAAATTAAACAATGCTACTCAGAATTACACCTAGACAAATTAAGAAATTTCAATAAAGAAACAGCTCCGCTGTAGGAGAAATAATATTCAAAGAATAAAACAATGATCTATCAGAATAGTCAACGAACAGGTGACAAGTTCAGACGTTTAACAGATCTCATGATCTTTATGAGACTGGACAGACATTAGATCATTATAAATTATCTACACCCATGTAGTATGAGATTTAATCTACTACAATCATGCCTAGAACTTGGCATAGGTGTAATATTCAAAGAATATAACCCTACAACAAGAAAATAGCACATAGATGGCAGAATAAGAAGGAACATTGGGAAAGAAATGTGAATATCTCGGGAACCAGTAAACTTTTGACTGTAATCTTTTTACCATCTGAAAGGACTGTTTCTTAACTTTATCCACGGTTTTGTTTCATTCTAAAAGCTTCAACACTGACGGAGATATCGCTCAAACGGCGAAACACCTTATAATTCATATATATTTATTTGCTAATTCTTACAAAAAGTAATGTGACTCAAGGGAAATATATTGGCGCCCGGAAGTCTGGCGGACCGAATACCATATGATAGAGTATTCCCCGGCGCGGGCGGACAGTTTTTGATCGCATCAGAAGAGGAGAAAATGCTAAAAAACCGGATCTTGTATATTATCCCATGATTCATCAAAACTTTTTGATTTTAAGCTCAAATAAATCGGAACAAAGGAATGATTGATGATCTGGATCTCGGATCATAAGCATGAAGTGATTCAGAAGTCTGCGGATCGGTTAATTAATTGGGAAGGCTCTAGAACATTAGTAATGATGTGGCTTCACAAAAAAGGGGTCAATTAGAGAACAGTCTAGAAAGTTCCTTTATAGCTGAGTCATTTCTAAAGATAACCGTTCGTAATTAAGGCGGTGTAGAGTATAGCTTCAGCGCTACAAGATCCCGCGAAGATCGGCCCAAAAGACAAAGAAATGAATTACTTATTGCTGAGTCATGTCCTAAGTCCATTATTAAGCTTACACAGCCCAAGCCCCTATATCATTCTAGAACTATCTATAATACAAATGTAGCACATGTAACTAGTGCAAGGCGTGGGAGTAGAGAGGCCTCTGAAAAGCATAAAAGGCCGCCGCTTCTGCCCCCTCTCAAACCTCAGGTAGAAATAAAAGTTTAATTCTCCTCACCAGTGGTTGGTTCATTTGCTCCAAAAGATAAAAGCAAATATTAGTTGTTAGCTAATATAAAACTAACACGTCACTCTAAGCGTGAGTTAGGGTCAGTTAGACACAGCTGAACAAAAGTGTCATAGTGAGAATTAGTGAGAATTTGGTGGAGGGACTTCTTAATTGAATAATCTCTCAGCAATACTTGGTTATCACACCACAGGAGAAAAGTGAGCGATCCTGAACCTGCTAGATAACTAGCACGCACTCTAAGCGATAGAAAGAGCAGTTTGGTCACTCCTGTATTGAGTAACATTTATTGCGGAATTATTTTATTAGTAGTTTCCCTTCAGTAAATTATCAGGAAAATCACGTCCTACTGAAAAGTGGTATATCTAGGTGTAATATTGACTAGAAATCATAGTAAAGTCAATATAAAATTTTATCCGTAGACGATCTATACGTCAGGTGAGATCGTTGGGGGATGTTTATTGTTGTTTAGACAGTAAACAATCATATATTTGGCAACCAAAACACGGTCAGTACGCAAATCAGCACAAACTCTAATATCGTTATTGGACGTAGGAAACTGGTTACATAAGGTGATCCAGCTCTGCTCCTTCACCGCAGGGCTCGGTTTATCTGTAAGTCAATTCCCAGGAACTTTAAAACTAACCCATAAAAATAGAATTAGCCAAAACACTCGGATTGGTACTATATTTACAATAAATAATACTAGTACACTTCCCCATCCTAACTAAAGAACCAGGGAACAGCTTGGTGGTGGTCTTGTTTGAACCTCCCAACTGACCTTCCTTTGTTCTCTCCTTCAACGGCAACAGCAAGGGGCTCTAAATGGCTCTTTATCCTAGAAATTAAGATTCTAAGTGGAATTATTGCTGGCAATATTGTATTAGCGCGCTCACTGTTTTAAGTCATTCCAAAAACAATTATCTTCAATAATGGAGATGATTTGGCAGGCTTTATTCACCACATCACGCCTAGTACCAGCAGAAGACTCAAGTTCACTCCGGCTTTTCAACACTATAGTTCGAAAGGAAGCCTCTAGGAGAAGAAGACATTGTATGGCCAATACATGTGATGTCCATCGCGTGATTACAGGCCGAATGAGGGCTTTTGCTTGATGTGCAGTATCGCGGATAGTGCGCTGCTCTCTATATAGCAAATGAAGTGCCAGACAATGGTTATTGAACCAATTGATTATCTCATTAGCCTGTGCCAATCGCAATGACATTTCACCATTATGCTTAATATAATCACCCAGAATTAGCTGCATCTATGAGAAATGGATTACTGTGGGGAGCGATTTCAATCAGAGGAACATACCTGATGGGCATAGCAATCTGTTACTATGAGCCATGGAAAAAGATCCAATAATCTGAGACGTGCGGCCCTGGATTCTCCCAATGCGTCTGATACCCATCCAATGAGCCTCAGACCTAAAGTGTCTTCGATATAATCCTTTTCTTTCTTGATGCGTGTAAGTAGGTTCTCAGCTGTCTTGCGTTCCCCTGTGTTATCATACACATTTGTCACCTGCACCTTTGAATGATTGATTGATGAATATGACAGCGAAGTCTAGTTCCGCTAGTAACCTACCATCCCTCTTGATGAGATCATAAATGCAACTAGGTGGTTCCGCAAAGTATCCTTCCACCCATCACATTGCCCAGTAGCATATGCACCCTTCATCAACCGAGTCAACTCCTCTTGTCGTTGATCAAATTCTGTGGTTAGAATCCATCCCGAAAGTTTGTTCCGATTTGGAATTCTGAAGGCTGAGTTCAACATTGAAAATAATTTGACAACCTCTGGATCCTCAACACAAAGGAAGGACCATCCTGCAGACACAATAGCACGAAGTAATTGTTCTTCAAGTGCTACTTGTTCTTCATTTAACAGTGTGGGAGTTGTGGGTGAGGTGCTTCGACAGCGGGGAATATGAGCTGGAGGGACAAGCAGCATTGCAGAGGAAGATGCTTGGCTATGAGTTGATGACGGGTTGTTGACAGGTGTTATATGGACATGAGGCATCGGACTTGTTGAACGCTGGTCTAACCACGCTTGTCCTTCAGCACACCCCTCTACGGAAGTGTGTGTGCATTTCACAAGATGATGAGCCAGCTTTTCTACTGTTCCTTGAATATCGGATGCGAGTGCAAGAGCTTATGTTTGCCATTTGATGAATATTTCTCAAACCAAATTAATGAGATATATGCATACCAGCTTCATGTAGTTCATCCGCTGAGCGTTGTAACGGGTCTATTGCCTAGACTCAAGACAGAGAGAAGGGGGAGGGTGGTAGTGTGCGCGGGTGTGGTTCGTTGGGCCAGGTTTTGGTCCGTGGGTGCTACTGAGTCTGCAAAAACCTCAAACAAACACTCACCTACGTCTCTCTTGGACGTCAAGGCTGAGTATTATGATGTGAGGGGTCTTAGACGTGAGCAACTAGCTCAGAGGGGGCGTTAGGGTCGTGGATGGCGTCTTTGCCACTTGGATGCAACTTCTGCTTGTCCCTTCACGGGTCTATTCAATACTAACTTGTTATGTACAAGCTGTTATCTATTTTATATGAGTTGGAAATGAAATGAATGGGCTGGGGGAATGTAAACGGGCCGTTAGGCAACCGTAAATAAAGAATGTCCAATTGGGAACAAAGAAACAATAAAAGAAATATGAATGAATGGGGAAAATGCGACAACGGGTCCGAAATGGGAATTGTGAAGATTAACTCCGCAACGGTTCGCCACAACACCCGCCTATCCTCCCGTCAGCAACCTCCTCGTCTCCAGCTTTCCAACGAGCCCTTATTCGTCCCAATTGGTGCAGTGGTTCTTGAGATGTGGAGAGGGGGTGAAATTGGCGGCGTGGTTGGGCATGGGAATTTTGCTTGGGGTTGTCGGGAATGATGGGGAAAATAAGGAAAAATATGGAGTGAGTGTATGGAGTGTTGGATAGTGATAGAATGAGTATCGGGAGCGTCAGCGGATATGTACTGTGTGTTAGTGACCAAATTCCGCAGAACCCGACTTTTTGCGGTACACGGAGTTGTCCCCACAACAGCGTCGTTGTGTAATGCTTCCAGTTGAGATGCCCTCGGAATCCTTTGCCTCCAGTGTCCTTGTATGCCAAGCCACGCATCCCTTGCACTTGGCAACGCAGTGACTTTTATTATTTCCATAAAGCCTTTCAAGTTGGTGGAAGTATTCCCACATAGGACTAGAAATGCCCATGGTGAACTAGAGGAGGATGGGGGGTGGGATTGTGTGGGATTGTGTGAAGTTTTCAAAAATCCTAACATGAAACATGGCAAATCAGGCAGCAAAGTCACAGTTGTGTAACTCAAGCTGTAGTAGAATCATGCTCAGCATCTCTTGTGTGCTAGCAAATAGTCATTACAGCATCTAATCCATAACAAACAAAACATATCCTATGAAGAAAGGTTGCGGACGGGTCTGAATATCGGGATCCCCCGATGAAAAGTCCGACTTACACTGACCGTGGGAGAGACTTGTGACCATCTAGTCAGACTCACGGACTTCGGTCTTTGTGACCGTTTGTGACCAGGTCTGTACAACACTGCTTCTAAGCGAGTCAACTGGGTCGGGGCCGCTGGCTGTCTCATCGTGTGCAAGGGGTGTTGTAAATCATAGGAAAAACCGAGTGAACCGTTCTCTGGGCTTTCATGGGCATCAGATCCAGTTGTCTCCCTCTCTGGAAAAACTCTAAGTGCATCGATCGCACTGAGGTCAGCAAGCTGAAGATGGCGCCTGATGATGCAGTCTGGGAGGCCACAGCAAGAACCCCTCCCAGACATGTCCTCCATGGTAGGGGCAATGGGCAGATACTGTTATTGTTACGAAGTCATAGAGGCTGGAGTCCTGCGTGGTGCTTAGACTGAGATCGGGCGATGTTGTTCTCGGCAATTTCCGTACTACTTCACACATCGTTCACTCTACCTGCGTGTCACCTAGATCTGCTCATTTTCTCCCAATTCAACCTTCTCTTCCCTCCGCAACTAGCCAACCTCCCCCCAAACATCCTTCCGAGGCAAGTACTCATAAATCTGCAAGGTCATGGACACTCAGTGTACTGCTCCACCAACAGCGATCCTATGAAGGCCTCCTACCTGGGCATGTTTCAACGCATCTTTACGCGTCTTTGCGCATTTTCACATGAATTTTCGCAATTTTATGTGTCTCTAACTCATTGATGAATGAGATATAATAGCTTTTCCTAGAAATTCATTATCCAACGGCAAACAAGAGTTTCCCAGCCTCCATTATGGCATTGCCCAAAGGCCACACTTGTGGTGGAACGTGGTCACCATTATGACAGCCCCACGACAGAAGAAAGCCCGAATCAATGAACCTGGCCCATCTCAGGCCAAGGCCCTGTACTGTATGTCACGGTGTTGCATGCAAGAGTTGAGCTTTGCATCTGCTACTCATAAGCTTGTTCCTCTGTCATCTTACTCTCAGACTCATGACTTCTTGCATTTTCATTAGGTTACGTGGACCATGCTTGATCGAGTCAAAGCTCGGGTCGTACTTTATTTCTAGCTCGCTGTTCAAATCAATCCCCATCGGTTCTTTTTCTCATTCATGTCTCTCGTAATTCGACCTGATAGAAGTAGTCTCGATTTCACTGTATATTACCACGAAAATGGTCGGAAATGACCACAAATAGCTGTGTTTTTTACCAATCAAAAATGTCGTAAATGACCAAGTCGGAGCAGGTAAATTACCAACTGCACCATGGTAAATTGACCGTTTACCATCATTATCGTGGTCAAAAACGAAGAAAATATAGGTCATTTACCCTCAAAAGCGTGGTAATGGAATCCTGGTAAAGGACCATGGATTTGATGGTAAAATATTATTCAAATCGTAGTAAAAATGATAGTATTTTACCATCTTTTAAATGGTTTTTTACGCAACTCCAATTCCCACTGTGTCTTGTTGAGCATGGGTCGTTTGCTCTCGTAGTGGATTCACAATTCTCTCTGCCCCAACCAATGAGTCAGTCGGTTCGAGCGCAGCGGTATTTTTATTTCCAGAATTGTGGATTCTCACGACGACTTGACGAATATTATTCCGATCTTATCTCGTGACTTGTGCAATGCGTTCGCTTTCCTAGGAAACATCACTGCTACGACAAGGTGAGTCAAACAAGTTTCCTTCTGGCGTAGCCCTCCACGGACACTTGATCCGCGGGGTCAGCAGCCACTATCGCATGAAGCCGGTTGGCAATGGGCCGAGTTTATCCATTTCGACCCCAAGACTTATCATTTTTCAAAATGATTTCTGTTTCTTTGTCGCCTAACTAGGAAAGTCGTTGACCTTCTTCCCCTATTGACTCACCGGCGGTGCTCAGCGTTCGACCAAAGGGAAACCGAAATGGTACATGGTGGACGTGAAGTTCGTCAGGCGATTACCAAATTTTGTTCCATTATGGTCACTCAGGGGAATAGCTATTGCCGGATTGTTAGCTGAGGGGTTGGGTAGAAGGACCGGTAGGGATTCCAGTCCTGCGCAAGCGGTTCACGGCTCTGCGGTGGAAGGGCGATGCATCCAGTTGGTGACCATGGCGAGGAGAACGCAGATGAAGCATCTGCCACTTTTCACGCACAGTTCCGCATACCCGAGTGCCTGACGGCTGAAGATGTGAGAGCTATCCGAGACATGACTCTTCTAAAGCGGGGCCGACTCAGTGTGCAGGCTGTCAGTCTGGAAGCGTATGAGGCTATCGTGAAGATGAGGAACATGGGGGGGTGGGAGGACCCGGGAAGTAGTGCTTGGAAAAGCATCGCTATCAGTGCTGGGAAGGGGAGCAAGAGAAAGGTGGGAGGGGAGCAAGAAATTGCAAAAGGGGATGGAGATGAAGGCGAAGATGAAGATTTACCGTTGAGAAAGCGGACGCGGCGGAGCCTAAGTAGATTGGTGTGTGCCGTAGTGATCGACTGTGACTGTATAGTTGCTGCGCTGGCGTTTGCCTTCAGCTCAGGCCAGACGCGATTCTTTGCGAGACAGCATGATGTGCAGCAGTTGGCCTCAATTATCTGAACTGTTTACCGATTGTATTCAAAGGGAAGGGCATATGATGTTTTATGTAACTTGTGGTAGGCGTATCTGCGGTTCTGGGCTCATATCGATCTCCGATGAGCGGGACCGGGATGAACCAGTGCCCCAAAAGTATGGCTCATTGTTACGCAAATACGGGCGTGTTAGCGATTGAGCAGCTCACTCTGCAATTTTGAAAGTATTCTGGCTCACCCCGTAAGCATGATGAATCTTGGACGTCGTCCCCTTTTCACGAACATGCATACATTTACGATCTCAAGCTGAATTAGATCGCAAATTAATACTCGGCCGATCGAATGACAAATGACTGAATGAATTTGAAATCAAAGGAATTTGGCCATGGACTGTGGGAAATCTTCCCCTCGACCACAAGCACACACAATCATTCTGCTTCCTCCGCCACCTTCCACGTCCACCACATACTTTGTTTATTCCCGCTCTATCGCTCTCTTTCCTTTCCATATCGCCCGAATCAAGGGCTATGAGATCCTAGTACAAATCATATCTTCACATCGCTCTGACTGTTGCTATCAGCTCACTTTTTGCCTACATCAAACAGATCATCGCTATCCTCCAACTCTGATCCAGCTGCTTTCTTTCGTTTCCTTTCTTATCAGCTAAAAAAACGCTATATACACTTAAATCTATCGCATCTCATGTATCAACATTCTTCTGCGGCGACTCCATCTAAAGACGACGATCTCACTGAAGGACTGAGGTTACAATTACGCACGCCTGTGCAAGGAGGACCTCCGTCGCTTTTAGCAGGACAGTACTTCCCCAGCGATGCGCCTACACTGGAACCATATCATCGACCGTCAGTGAGTGCTTCAGGAGGCACCCAAACCATTGACGCGCATCGTGACGCGGATATGCACCGAACGTGGGGAATCCATGATTATTCGAATCGACAAGGTCCGTATTTCCGGTCTTTTTGATATGGTGATACGTCTCTTCAGGGCCTTCGTGCCTTCGTGCCACTGCTCCTCCTTTCGAGCACACTCCGTCCCTTTCGTTCTCTAGACTCTGGAGCATTGATAAAAGTTTGGTCGCGGGTTTGAATATAGATTCGGATAACAATACGGTTTCTCGCGATTGGCCCACCCACAACGATCCTGAATTAAGTCAAGCCAAAGATAACGGCAGAGGCAATGAAGGTGCAGTATTGATTATAAGTGCTCCCGACCGTGGCGGTCGTGGGGACGAGCAGGGGGTGTTGGTAGCAGGACAGGTTCCTCTTGCAAATTATTCCATTGGTTTGGGGTCGAAATCTCCGCGAGGGCCGGTTCAAAAGGTGGGCATGGCTCAATTTCAATAACCCGCCAATCCGAATCCTGATCGATGGTCGTTTGTGACTGCCCTCGTGCCATCTTACTTTACTTGGTCACAATATTTCGCCTGCATCCCCCCTTTCCCCTTCAAATACTCTTTGCTCGCATACTGATGCAGAGACCTGCCTCTTCTTCTGGCCAAGGCACTGCCCCTCCCCGCACGTTGGCGCCTGTAAGAGACCTCTCCCCGCGTAGGGATGTTACACGTACGACCAGTGGAACAGCTAGTGCTTCTTCTGGGGGCGCCCATCGACGGCCCGGCGGCGGCGGTAGGGGTCACGGTGATGCAGAGCACAGTATCTTCGTGGGTGATCTCGCTCTGGACGTGACTGCGGAAGATCTTGTCGATGTCTTTCGTAACCCATCCATCGGGGTCCCCCCTCAATCAGAAGATGAACCAAGACGACTGATTAAGCCATTCTTGAGCTGTAGCAGCGCAAAGGTCATGTCCGAACCAGAGACCAATGGGAGCAAGGGGTATGGGTTTGTGAGGTTTTCAAACCGGGATGAGATGGTGCGCGCTTTAGTCGAGATGCAGGGTGTTTACTGCTGCGGCAGGCCAAGTAGGTCGACTGATATTTGTCTCGTCCTCACATGCCAGCCATATGCCCCAAGGGCGCCTTTCATTGCGGTCCTCCGTATTGTGTTCCTTTTCCTCCCCCCAGATTCGAGCGTGGGAACTGACCGTTTTCCTCCGCCTCCTTCGTCACCTTCCATTTTGTCGCTACCATACCAGTGCGTATAGCAAGTGCACCATCAAGATCGAAGCCGCCAATCGCGTCTGCCACTACCAGTCGGGCATCCCCACCGCGTCCCCTTCCCCCAATAGACACATCTTGGCGTGAAGGTCCACCATCCGAGAGTAACTCCCGACCGACGTCGCGACTTTCCACCTCCTTTCCCCCAATTCCGCCTTCTCCTCAGCGTTCCTCCGGTCGCGGGCCACCGCAGCCCTCCCCTATCACCTCTTTTTCCCCATCATCGCCTCTGTATCCTGGTTCGAACGCAAGCTTGAGTCCCCCAAATTATCGCAACACTGGGAGTTCAGCTGGTCAGGCTCAGGGACGAGGGCATCGGTCCGGGGTATCCAACAGTTTAAGTCCGGGCGCCGGAGGGTCGAGGCCTTTAAGCGCCTTGTCCCACCGCAGCAGTGCGGGAAGTGGTGTCAGGCCAATAACAACGATAGATGATGTGCCTAAGCCGTTGCTGAGACAGATCGTGACTCTTGCCAAGGGTGGACTTCTGGATCACCTCGTTGCCGATGACCAATTCACATCTGAGGAAGATGGAGAGATTGCCAGCATGTTTTCTTCCCTCCCTCAGCTTCGGCAGGCGTTCGGCGTTGGAGTCGGGCCGCACAACCTGGCCCCAAGGGGCTCAACGAGCACATCTCATTCTTCTTCCCCGCCGCGTTCTTCCCCTGCTCCCGTTTCGACACTGGCGTACGAGCGCCTACATGAGGTCCGGTCTGCAACTTCTACTTCGCAAGCACCAACGCGGACCTTAGAGATATCTACGAGTCACTTAGGGATGCCAATCGATAGGGCATCACCGTTGTCCAGCGCAGCGAATACGTCGCCACTTAGAGATAGTGCGAGTGACATTACAGGCTTTTCAGTCGCTCCTGCCTTGAGTGATGCGGGTAGCTTTATGGATGATGATGGTAATGATGATGGTAATTCGGTTGAGTGGAATACGACCGTCTTTGTTGGTGGGTTGTCCTCCGCTGTGACGGAAGAGGAGCTCCTTTCGTGTTTTGGAGTCTTCGGGGAGATTCACTATGTGAGTTCTATCCTGGATGCCTGGCCCCATCGCTTGGTCACAAACTGTAACATGACCAATAGGTCAAGGTTCCTCCAGGGAAGGCATGCGGCTTTGTTCAGTATGTACGCAAGGCGGATGCTACTCAGGCGATCCAGAAGATGCAAGGTGTTCAGCTCGGTGGAAGACCGATTCGGTTGAGTTGGGGTAGAAGCCAGGCTAAAGCTGTCAAACAAGCCGCTGCACTTGCTGACAGCGCAGAGAAGTTGAGTCTGGGCCCAAACGCAAGTTCTTCCAGATTGCCGCTGTCTTCAGATGAGCACGTTAGACGGGTTCCCAGCGTGGCGGGGACCCCGATAATTGTCCCTACTGTAATAGAACCATCTCGTCAGAGACGCGCGCCGCCTCAGTCTACCAACCGCTCATCTACTTCCTTCGCCCGCCCTCTTACTGTATCCACGGAGCTTTCCTCGTTTAGTAATCCTAGGGAGATCCCTCTTCGTCTTTCGTCTAATCAATCGTCATCCAGGACCCCTAGTGGGCGAGGAATCGATATCAGTATTGCCTGTCTCCCCCACGATTCGGGTAGCCGTTTCTTGTCTCCAATGTCTATTCCTGCAGGGATGTCAGTACACCAAGGTGCGGGCCAGCATCGACGGACTCCGTCGCCTCACTCTAGTTCGATGAGAGGAATGGGTAGAGTGTTCCCAAATTCTGCGCCCCTTCGAAGCATGAGAACGGCCGAGGGAATGGATTTGGAACAGATGCTGACGCGTGTCTCCCCGGAGGCAATGGCGCAGCATAGCTCATCATTCTTGCAGCAGCACCCGGGGGGCATGAACGATGCGGCGTATCTTGTGGACAGGCATGACGAACTGTCTCGGATATTCGATGGCCAGTTGGGAGCGAGTCGCTCGCGAATGGGGGGTGAGTATATTTCCTCAGAACACCATCCTCCCATACCTGCTCCTAGTGCTAGAAGAGTGTACAACGACGTGTCAGAGTTTGAGATGAATGCTCCAGGGTTCGCGGGTGGTGTGTTGCCGGACGTGGGGATAGGCGTTGCTCAATCACAGCAGCACGTCTTGCGGGATCAATATGATGTTCCCCAATCCCGGGATGCGGTAGGATACCGTCAGCGACAGCAATCGTTCCACGATCCCTTTGAAATTGGGCCAGGGTTCTCCGGGTCGAACATGGGTGTATGGTATGGCCCCGGGTCCTCTGCCCTTCACTCTAATGATGACATCTCCCTTGATCCACAACGGGTTCTGGAAGAGCAATCCGATCGACCGATGCAACCTGGTACTCGTTCAGGACGTCGCTAAGCAGTTGTGCATCTCCCTCTCGTTTCCCTGAACAATGAGTTTGGTGGAGAATTTTTGATGTACCTTCATTTATTCAAGGCGCAGATGATGGTTACATCGACTGGTTCAGTTTCTGCACCGAATTTTCAATATTGGTCAGCAGAATCATCTCGCTTTCTTTTCAGCTGTTGGGAATCCATCCAAGCTTTTACTCGCTTTCTTTGTCATCATTTGCTTTCCATAGTTAATTTTCGTCGCTCCTCCTTTGTTGCATATGAACACTCTACGTACACACTGTTCCATCCTTGGTAAGTTCAGAGGATTCCGCTCTGAGTCGATACCCCGCAAAAATCGTTATCGTACGTATTCATTATGGTTTCTTTTTTTTTGGTGGAACCGCCCGTAGCTTTCGCTGGGTAGGTTTGCTACCATTCATCATGGTTTCCATCAAGTCGATGCTCTTCTTCCCACTCTACACTTTCGCCTATATCATGCTCCCGTCGAATAGCTTTCTTTTCTCTGGTGGACCTCCAATAGCTTTCTGGTTGCGCGTCCGCTGGTATTTATTTTGAGTCGTTCTGGCTCGCTCCGGCCCTTCATTCTGAAAAATGCCCTCATCGACATTGTTTTTTCTTTGTTGCAGTACCTCCTGTGTC